TTTGGAGAAGTCACCTGTGAATTATCACCCAAGTCATTGCCGAGGCCCTCATGTAGACAGAAGGGCTCGAAGGTCAAGCCCTTTTCATGTAAGATGCTCACGAGTAAGGGAGGGTCTGAGTAGTAGAGGGAAAGGGAATGTTGCCAAAACCTTAAGCCCTGTGAAAAATCACGAAAGCCTGCAAGTTGGTGTCCAGAGTACAAATGACAAAGAGATCCAGGCAATTTCCCTAAGTAGTAATACAAGAATCTTTAAATAGAGGGAGAGGGGCTTTTTCCTTTCTGTGGCCAGAAAGAACTTGCCGGTTCATGTCAACATGTCCGGTTATGCAAAAACGAGAAGACCATGTCAGAAGAAACGTTATCTATTAGTCATGAAATCAATTCCAGAGAGAACCATACACAGGCCCACTGTAAAGTGTCAGGAAATTGACTTGAGAGGCTGCTTCGCAGCAGGAGAGTTTGCTATTTACAACTGGGATGCAGCAAGGCCTCTCAGAGCTTTGTGGCTTTACCGAGACAAAACTGTACGGTCTGCTTTGCTTCTTATGAAAAAGACCAGCGCATCGCAGAGATGACTGGCTGGGAGCCTGACCCCTGCAGAAGGCACCTGGGAGGCTGTGGACACTGAGCCTCACCCCAGGCAGCAGCTGCCGCTGCTCTCCTGTCCCCTGGACAGCTGGCCCATGCCTCTGGGCGCGGGTGTTCAGGATCGCTTGGGGACGGGCGTGGCTTTTCTTTAATTTTTAAAAAATTTATTTATTTATGCATGCAGGAAAGGGAGTGTAGGCCAGATGCCGGGGTGGAAGGTGTGAGAAGAGTCCCCAGAGACAGAGTGGGGAGCAGAACAGGCCAAATGCTGCACCCTGTGGGTAGTGCTGGGCCTTAGCCCCCGTGCCACCGGGGAGGGCGTTATAAAGATACACTTCTTATGAATAAAAGTACTCTATGGGAAAAAAGACTTAGAAAATATACTCCTCTGTGCTCTTCCCTAGGCAGCAGAGTCACAAACCACAGCACTTCCAAAGTGTAGTGAGGTGTAGCTACTCTAAAGGACAAGGCAGAGGCTGGTGCCTCACAGTGCTGAAATGTCAGATACGTAAAATACATTCAAAACTAGACCGAAAGGAAGGAAAGAACTAGACAGATAAGGGAAAGAACCACCCTGGGGAAAAAAAAAAAAAAACGATTAGAAGAGGAATTGGTGGCGGCCAGCGGTGGACACAGGACACTGAGGGGGGAGCAGCCGCCTGGCAGGTGCGCGGGGAGCGCAGGCAGCTGCCCAGACCGGCCCCTTGCCCGCCCTCAGTCTTACAAGTGTGCAGAGGCACCTCGTTTCCAAGACGCAGCCCGCAGGGGCTGAAACTAAGCCACCGGCAGGCGAGCTGCACCCTGGGGCAGCCCGAGGAAGGTGTGAGGTAGCGTCTCTGAGGGAACATGGTGCACAGCATGGGCTGACACAGGCTGGGTGAGAGTCAGGACACGGAAGGATTTTCCTCTTAGTTTGGGAAAGATAAACTTAACTAAAACTAGAGCATCAGTAACAGGAGAGACCAGCGCACGGCCGGGCGGGAGCCGGCGGAGCGGACCGCCAAGGAACCGGCCTCAGGGATCACAAGCCACGCAAGTGATCATGTTTCTAAGCAGCCTGGCCTCTCCTCACCCAAGGCCCTCCGAGCCCCCAGGGACAAGTCTACATTTGCCAGCGCTGCCCTAGACTCCGGGCAAGGGTGGGCAGCAAGGTGGCCCCCAACAGGCTCCCTTAGTGTCCCGGGACTCGGTGACCCTGGTTGGGAAGGCCCTCGCTCTGCTCCGGTGGGAGCCCCGCGGTCTGGGGAGAATGTCCTCTGGCTTGGGGGAGCAGCGGCAGCGGGGCCTTCACAGGCGAGGCTGGCGCTGAGAGCCGGCACTGCTCTTCAACCCCAAACTCTCAGTTCTTCCAGTCTGCCCTGCTCGTGGCCCGGCCTGGGGCCACGGTGAAGCCAGGTCCGGCTCCGCCGAGCTTCGACCTCTGCAATGCTCAGTCTCCTGGTGCGGAAGCTGCAGGTTTAGTCTCCTGGCAAAAATGAACGCGCAAGTCTGCAAGTGGGCTACCTTAGAAAGTCTGTCAGATGCCACGGCTTCTGCAAGAAAAGCTGACCTTTAAAAAAATCATTTTCCTCAAATTGAAAAAAAATTATCCGCCTATTTACTCCCGTCACAATCCATTCACATCGAGTGGATTTTTTTCCCCTCAGCCCTGTGTTTTAAAGACATATTCCATGAATTTGCTTTGAAATACTCCTCAAAATGAAACACACGTGATGTTCAGAGAAAAGGGTTTTTTTCCCACAGAAATCAGATACCTAGAAGAAGTTTCTAATGCCTCTCCCTAAGCTGCAGCCCTTGCCTGGAATGGTCTTTCATGCCTTGTTCTGATCTAAGTTCTTGAAAGTTATTCCTCACACGAGCCCTTCTGAACACGGAATGACATTTCTTTCTACTTCTATTCCACAGCTGTAATTCCCAGATTTGCTTTTCAAGAATCACTCCATTCCCCCCCCAGTACAAAACTTAAATTCGTACTTGTTAGGTTTTGCTTTGTTTTCCATCTCATTAATTTTTGCAATGACTTTTTATTATTTGCTTCTGCTTTCATAACTCAGTTCTTTTTTGGCTTCTGAAGTTGTATAAATCTAATTAATTTGCGCTGTTATTTCTTAACCATAAGTTCCCTATTAGTATGTTTTGGAGACTGTAAACTTATGTTTTTATTGTTGATGTGAGCTGCTATAATGTTTTTCTGAAAGTTCTGTGATATCTCTGAAGATCGATGTCGTACGAGGTCAAATTTGCAAATAAAGCTCATGTGGCTTCCGCACAGATTTTTACGTCAAGTTGGGTCAGTTGTCTGAGGCTCCCACCTCTTTTTTATCTTTCCGACTCTAATGAAATGTGCTTAAAAGCTCCCGTTACAGTTGTCTATGTGCCAATTTCTCCTTTAAACTGTCAAAGTTTGCTGTGACCAGACAAATCCACTGGTTATTTTTATTTGTGGCTTTTTCTTTTTAATGTTTTAGTGACCTCTTTCTCCCTATGAATAGCAAATATGCCTTGAATGCTCCCTTTTCTGGTGTCAAATGTGCTACTCCGGCCTCCCACGGCTGGGAGCTGCCTGCTCTGTGGCTTCCTTGCCTTTATTTCCAGCCTTCCCAGATCATGGCAGTCACACGCTCTTAAACCTCTGGAGCTGGGGTGTTTGAAAAACCCAAACTGACAATCTCTGTCTTTTAACAGTGGAGTCTACTGCTTACGCCTGTGGTGACGCGCCTCTCGTCTCCTGTTTTGTGTTTTCTATTCATCATCCTTATACTGTGCTTTTTTCTCGCCTTCTTCCTATTAAACACTTCGACCCCCACTTCTGTTCCCTTGTGCTCTAGGCTGTATTTACCTCACCGCCGACCCTGTCAGTCTGTACGTGCACCTGAACGTACCTCGGAAACGTCTCTGCCACATTAGCAGCTCACATCAACAATGAAAGTAGATCACCCACGCTGGCTGCTCCCACCATATTCTCAAGACTGCCAGAACTCAGTGAGGGGAGGTCTCCCCCACTCAGGACAGTGGTCAGAGACATCCATGAGCCTCGACACAGGGGGGCCAGGGTCCTTTTCCTTCAGGACACAGCAGCAGCAGCGCCAGCTACCCTGAAATCTTCCCTTCAGTTTGGTGGCTTTGCATACAAAAACACTGTATCAGAAAATTTTTTTTTTCTAAACGTAACCTCACAGAACTTACTGCTCTGCTCTTTTTCAGTTTTATCAAAGTTCACCCTCCTGTTTGGAGACTGATAGCAGGCATTTTCTACTTTTCTACTTATGACTTGAAATTTCATGCTAACATGATTTCTATCAAGGAAAAGAACTAGAAATAATCCAAAGGTTCACCTAGGGAGCAGACACCGTGGAACCTCTTCCAGATGTCCAAGCCAGATCCGCCTGCTAACACACCACCCGCTCTGTACCGGTGTGGGGGGTGCTGGGGCACCGGGGGTGTGAGTTTCCACCACACAGACATCAGCAATTACGTTGTACTCCTGGAATCAACGTAATGTCACATCAGTTATGCCTCAGGGTAAAGATCTTCATGCGACACATACGGGCCAAGGGACGCCCGTATCTAATCCATGCAGATGCCAAATGAGTCATGTGGACGGAAAGCCCCACCCCTGCGACACTCACCACCACGTGCAAATGCAGGGCTGTAAGCAGCAGGCCTCAGTGGGGTGCTTGGAGGGGAAATACAGCTCAAAATTAATTTAAAATTTTCCTTCTGGAAGAAGCTGAAACTTTTCTTTCTCCTCTTCCCTGTCATTAGGGCCAGTCATCACTGCCTTCTTCTTTTTTAAAATAAGCCCAAATTTCGGTTCCTGACAAGGTCAAAACATGCTTCTCAGATTTTATGGGTTAACACAAATCAGGTCACTGCGTGTGGTAAGCTCATATTCCCCTACATAAGTGTGTGACTGATTTCATTTCCTGGCAGTGATGTACATTTGGGAAAAAAAAAGAAAGAAAAGTCGAGCTGAATTTCAGTGAAAAAGCAGTTTTATGCCTGTCTGAAAGGTTTGTGTGCAAGGGGGTGCTTGGCCTGACTTTGTTCTTTACCAGACAGTGATTCAGAAAAAGGAAGGTGGGACGTCTCTGCCTTCGGGGTTAGCACCTTCCCTCTCGTCACAAAATCGCGTGAGGTTGGCCTCGTGAGGGGTCCTAGTTCCTTGGCCAGCATTTTGCCTAAATCATCAGTTGTGTGAACAAAGACCTACACTCTACTCTCTGTTCTTCTGCGAGCATGAAAGTCCCATCCCACGTGACACCTTTTACAAGTTATATTAATTCTGAAATTAAAAAATTAGACCTTACGCAGGCAGCTCCCACTGCTTTTAGCTAACACTGCTGTCAATTAGAAAACACCCTTCTTGGCTTTTTCTAGAGGCCCTGGACGCTGCTGAGGGACACAAACATGGACGACAACCTCACCGCCTTCTCCCTGGCGCCTCCGGGCAGCGACTGCGACCTGTACGCGCACCGCAGCGTGGCCAGCGTGCTGATGCCCCTGCACTACAGCGTGGTCTTCGTGGTCGGGCTCGTGGGGAACGTGCTGGCCTTGGTGGTCATTTTCTCAAACTGGAAGAAGATCAACTCTACGACCCTCTACGCAACAAACCTGGTGTTCTCTGACATACTGTTCACCACCACGCTGCCCATGCGGATAGCCTACTACGCCATGGGCTTCGACTGGACCCTGGGCGAGGCTGTGTGCAGGGGGACCGCGCTCCTGTTCTACATCAACACGTACGCGAGCGTGAACTTCATGACCTGCCTGAGCGTCGACCGCTTCTTTGCCGTGGTGCACCCGCTGCGGTACAACAAGATGAAAAGAATTAAATATGCGAGATGCATTTGCGTGTTTGTCTGGATTCTCGTACTTGCTCAAACCCTCCCACTACTCCTGACGCCTATGTCGAAGCTGGAGGGGGACAGGACCACGTGTATGGAGTATCCAAACTTTGAAGAGACGAAAGGGCTTCCCTGGATGCTGCTCGGTGCCTGTTTCATCGGCTACGTGCTGCCGCTCGCCATCATTCTCATCTGCTACTCGCAAATCTGCTGCAAACTCTTCAAAACTGCCAAGAAGAACCCGCTGACTGACAAATCTGGTGCCAACAAAAAGGCTCTCAACACAATCGTTCTTATCATCCTGGTGTTTGTCCTCTGTTTCACCCCTTACCATGTGGCGATCATTCAACACATGGCCAGGAAGCTTCTTTTTCCTGATGTCCTAGAGTGCAGCCAAAGACACTCATTCCAGATTTCCCTGCACATCACAGTGTGCCTGATGAACTTCAACTGCTGCATGGACCCTTTCATATACCTCTTCGCATGTAAAGGGTACAAGAGAAAGGTGATGAAGATGCTGAAACGTCAAGTCAGCGTGTCAATTTCCAGTGCCGTGAAGTCAGTCCCCGAAGAAAACTCTCGGGAAATGACAGAAACGCAAATAATGATACACAGCAAGTCTTTAAATGGAAAGTAAAGAGAACGAAACTTTGGATCTAGAGTCAAAGAAACTCTACGAGCCATTCTGCAGGACCTTTGATAAGGCGAGAAGACTGTCCGACTTCCAAGTCGGGACCTTTTAGATCCCTTACCGGGCTCACTTTCTCGTCTCCAGCTTGGATGTGAAGCGACGCATCTGTAATTTTTATACTTTGGAACAACAGAAAGCAAAGTTCAATTTGCAAACAGCCACCAAAAGTGTGGTGACTTAAATAACTCAGCACAGCCAGAAAAGGTTTGAATTCCTGAAAAATTTAATCATTCCAATTTCCTGCCACTGCCCTGGCAAGAAGAGAGACTGCTAAGCCTGGGCACTGCCAGTGTAAAAATGTCAATACCGTTATAGCTGTTTTTGGGGGGAGGGGGCTAACATATTTCTTCCATCCATGTTTCTTTCACCTTAGACTTTATCTCCTCAACGACACAGCTGGTTTTGTTTTGTTCGGCACCATCAGATTTTGTTTCAGATAACTCTCTGGAATAAAGCGCAGGATGCTACACATTCTGAGTACGTCCCTCCGTGTTCACCGGCAACTATGAGCAGAAGTCACAGGGGGAAAGTTGGCAGGCAGATTTGGACAGCAATAGTATTAAGGGGTGGTGAGGCGGCACTGAGCTCTCCGTGGACAGCCGGCCAAGAATTTAAAGGTCTCTGCCAGCGGCCAGCTGGCTGCGTATGGGGGTACCCCCCAGGACGAGGGGCGGCTGGCTTAGTTCTTCCTGGGAATAAAAATCTATGCAAACATGCTTGTTTTTTTCTTGGGTCTCTAGAGAACCCTTTCTTTTTTACTCACGTCGGAAGTACTGTTTCACTAGTTTGGGTTTACCAGAAAGAGCGGGGAGGAGGGGAGGAGGGGTGCAGTTGCCGCTCGTCTGCGTAAGATCAGGAGTCAAACGCGAATGTGGAGTCCCCAGGACTCTCGAGAGCAGGGCGCACGCCCTAGGTGACGGCCACAGCCTGAGGAGCATGACCTCCGAGGCAGGGTCACCCTGGGGCCAGCTCAAACTGCTGGACCATCCCCCAAACTAACCCAATACGGTACCTATATAACTAGCACAGACACCAATTTTGACAATGGAACATAAAAAAGTAAAACGTTAACTCACGACTCATACTTCAAGTGTTTACTAGGTAGATCCAGGAATAGCTTCTTTTGAATTCCTGCTTCCTACTTGATTTGTCAGTTCAACATTATTTCCTGAGTTCTTCCATACTTGTATCAAATTAATTCCACAAAAAAGGAGGCCTCCCTGGTGGTGCAGGGCTCCAGTCTTGACACTATGAAGTTGCCTGCAGTCCCTGCAGCACGAGTTCGATCCCCGGCCAGGGAGTGGCCCACAGGGCGCAGCAGACCTTTCCCGTCTCCTTGCTGCTCCCGGCAACAGTGGATTTCGGTGGATCCACCTGTTCTGCTCCCCACTCTGTCTGTGGGGGAATCCTCCTGCCCCTGACTTCTATCTACACCTCAACTTGTATGCATAAATAAATAAAATACACCTTTACTTTCACAGAGTACCTGACCTTAACGGGCACCTATGACAGAAACCCGTGTGGTCCTCGGAAGCCCCGATGGGGCCAGGCCAGAGCCTTGGGCCACCCCTTCACGCCACCAGTCAGCCCTCCCAAGTGAAGGAGGAAGGGCAGGGCCGCCCACCATCATCCCACGCCTGAAGCGACGCGCCTGCGGAAGCTCTCCGGGAGACGGGCGCCGCCGCGCCATCCCGCGAGCTCCGCCGCCCACAGCCACGCGCGGCTTCGAGCAGCGTCAGCCTCCGTGCTGCGGGGCCGGCGCCCAGGCCCGTCAGGCAAGGACGCCGCGGCCTCACCACCTGCCCCAGGAATAGCGTATCACGCCGCCACGCCACCAAGCAAAGACGCGGTTCCACCCCACCGCCAGAAGCCCAACTGCCAAGAGGTAAACTGTAAAGCCTGCCCCAACCAGTCTTACCCGAGTCGGCACTCTTGCTCGCCCCTCGGCTCTCTGCTCTCCTCCAAAGGCCATCCTGCCTCTTCTCAGGCCCCTGGCCCGGCAGCGCGGCCCTCTACTGGCTTACACTCGGTTCCCACTGGCGCCCTCAGGAGCAGGTGGGGCGGGACCAGCACCCACGCGGCGCATTCCTCTGCCCTCCTGCAGGAGAAGGAGGCGGCCTGCTACCTAACACAGTGGAAGTCATAGCTCTGGTGTCTTCTGTACGAGTTGGGGGATACCCAGCCGATTTCACCTCCCAGGGAGCTAGAACCCCTCTGGACCTCTTCCAGCAGAATTGTTGGTTAAGTAAAAGGAAAAACAACCCACAAACCTCAAAGCTAGTTCGATGGAAACCAAATTGCATCGTGACAGCGCAGAGCAGACACAGCAGCACACGCTGGCCTTGATGGCCACACAGGTGTAGGAGGGACTCAGCAATTACGAGGCAGTCCATACTCCTGGACCGTCTCCCTGCCCCCATCCTGTCTAGTGGGTTGAACACACAGAATGCCCACATTCCATAAAGAAACTGAGGTTCAGGAAAGGCTCCTGTTGGCATCTGGAACGGAACCCTGATGCCAGAGCCTGGCCAGAGGGGACACCCGAGTCACAGCAGGGAAAGCATTGGCAGGCTGAAGCGTCTCAGGCCAGGCCAGGCCAGGCGGGACTGCCTAAACCTTCAAGGGAACAGGTGAGGAGGCTGTAAGCTCAGCCAGGGGCGAGCGGACAGGCTTCACCTGCCCCACACACCGCCGCTGCGGCGGAATCTGGCCCGCGGAGGGTGCTCCGACACTCATCTGATTGAACGGCAGCTTTCGTACCATTACTAACAGAGCTGGAGAGCTTACTGAGACATCAGGGAAGTTCTTAATTGTGCGATGAAATGAAAAGAAGCCCCTCAAGCGCTCAGTGACCTCGGCTAAGGTGTGTCGCACGCAACGGAAGACTGTTACCCTCCGCGGCCCTGCAGTTTAAACCAGACGCACCAATGCACAGCTAATCCCTCCAGAGCCCCTTTAAATCTAGAATCAGAACTATGTTTTACGTGGAGATCATTTTATATTTCAGGAGGCAGGTGTCATGACTTCTACTTAAATCAATAAAAAGTACCAGGCAATTTTTAAAAGGGGAAGCACAGAGCTTAAATTAGCCCATAAAATGATCTATTTTGGTCACTTTTTAGGCCACTGTAGTTTGTTATTCTCTGTAAAGCTGAAAACAGTGCTGTGACTACTCAGGTAAGAAGGAGACGAAACGCCCGAGGGTTTGAAGCGGGCTGGGGGCAGCGCGGCCCCTCCGGAATCCAGAGGGCCGATGCCCACGAGAGCTGCTGCCATGCCGCTGAAAAGTGGGTCGCTGGAAGATCACCCCTGCACGGCTGCGCCCGAAAGCTCCACCTGCCGAGGACGGCTGCTGTGGCGGCACGGTGCTCTCCGAACACCTGCCGGCTTCACCTCAGCTGGCCTTCAGACGTGGGCCCAACGTTGTCTGTGAAGAGGGAACCGGCAGGACAGCCACGTGGAGAGGCGGAGCCGGGAAGGAGTCCAGCCCACCCATCTGGCCGTGGGCTGCCGCAGGCCAGGTCGGCCCATGGCCTTCCGACCCTCCTGGGCTCCGCGCCCCTCACACATCAGGGCCTCAGTTCCCCCTCCCCGCGGGGGCCCTGCCTTCCCAGACACTCGCTTACTGTCTGCTGCCTGCACCGCTGCCTCCACCCCGGGGCTGAGCCGGGAATCCTTCTTGGCTTCTCTGGCCTTCCACTCTCTCTTGCCCACATTTTCTTGCCAGTATCATCATCTGAGTCCAGATACTTCTGTCCCCCTGACCCCTCAGCTAGAGCCAGAAACCTTATTAGCCTTCCTTTCTGCTGCTATACTGGAACGAAATTCAAGGAGACGAAACTGGTAAGGGTAGCATTTATACTTGCTACTAATTCCAAGGCAGAGGGCCCTAAGCCCTGGTATAAAAGCTCATTCAAATCTGCCATATGTTTGTGAGGTTTAGCACTCTACAGGTATGTCATAGAGATGAGGAGTAACGCACCAGAGAGAGGTTGCGTGACTTGCCCGAAGTCACACAGCTAGTGAGTGGAGGAAGCCAGGTTCCCCGCTATGGCAGTCTGGCTCCAAAGCCCGCACTCTTCATCACTATTTCTTTTAAATGAGTAGAAAATATATTCTCGGTACTGACAGAGCCTTGGAGGAGACATTTACTGCTCACTCAATAGCTTCGAGTTACTCTGAGGCACATGTGACCCTAAATGGCCAACAGTTTGGGGCAAAAGTGACACATGTCACTTCCAGGCTGAGGCATTAAGGAATATTCCATCCCGCTGTTCTCTCCTGCATAGCTCCTGCGACGTTCTGGATGGCGAGACCCTTGTCAGTCTGGGGGTGAATAATTGGAGAACTCCCCACTGCCATTCTCTGCCCAGCCTTGTGGCCAAATAGAGCAAGCACCTGTACTCAGTCACTGAGATTTCTGGGTTAGTTTGTGGCTAAAACATAAACTAGCCTGTTGTGATTCATACAGTGTTAACCTACTTAGAAAGAAACAGACCAATCCGCAGAGAGTAAAGCAAAGACGGGCAGACACGGCCCAGTCCTCCCAGCAAACACGCATCATCCTCCAAACCCCAACTTGTGCCGTTTCATGTTCAAAGACTGAGAAGAGCCCCGCTGAGTGTCCACACTTTCAAGCCCCTCCAACCAGCCTCCCTCCACTGTCCTTTTAGGTTTACTAAAGAGCACACTAATATTTGTTTCTCACTGGCTGGCTGATTTTGCTTCCTTGGCTTATTTTTCAATTCACACCCTAATTGTGCCTCCTCCTTGAATTCTCTGAGTTCTCAAGGCCACCCAGCTTCCTTCCTTGACTTATCTAGCTTTTATAGTCAGAACCGCACGGTCTTAGCTTCAGATGCATCTATTATCTTATAACAAAGGAAGAGAAGAAGCACATCGTGGCCTAGTTCTGGTCTGACAATCAGCTACATCGTTCGGTTCAG